GCATGTTCTGGTTAGCTAGCTGAACAATGCAGGTTCTGGTTAGCTAGCTGATTAATGCTTGATCTGGTTAGCTAGCTGCATAATGCAGGTTCTGGTTAGCTAGGTGATGAATGCAGGTTCTGGTTAGCTAGGTGATTAATACTTGATCTGGTTAGCTAGCTGCATAATGCAGGTTCTGGTTAGCTAGGTGATGAATGCAGGTGCTGTTAGCTAGCTGATTAACGCAGGTTCTGGGTAGCTAGGTGACGAACGCTGGTTCTGGTTAGCTAGTTGAATAATGCAGGTACTGGTTAGCTAGCTGATTAATGCTTGATCTGGTTAGCTAGCTGCATAATGCAGGTTCTGGTTAGCTAGCTGATTAAAGCTTGATCTGGTTAGCCAGCTGCATAATGCAGGTTCTGGTTAGCTAGCTGAATAATGCAGGTTCTGGTTAGTTAGCTGATTAACGCTGGTTCTGGTTAGCTAGCTGATTATGGTTGGTTCTGGTTAGCTAGGTGATGAATGCAGGTGCTGTTAGCTAGCTGATTAAAGCTGGTTCTGGTTAGCTAGCTGAATAATATAGGTTCTGGTTAGTTAGATGATTAAAGCTTTTCTGGTCGTTGGGTCTGGTTAACGTTGGTTCTGGTTATCTTGCTGAATAATGCAAATTCTAGTTAGCTAGGTGATGAATGCTGGTGCTGGTGAGCTAGATTATTAATGCTGGTTCCTTTTAGCTAGCTGATTAATGCTGGTTCTGGTTAGCTAGCTGCATAATGCAGGTTCTGGTTAGCTAGAACATGAATGCTTGATCTGGTTAGCTAGCTGATTAACGCAGGTTCTGGGTAGCTAGGTGACGAACGCTGGTTCTGGTTAGCTAGCTGATTAATGCCGATTCTGGTTAGCTAGATCATGAATGCTTGATCTGGTTAGCTAGCTGATTAATGCTTGTTTTGGTTAGCTAGCTGCATAATGCAGGTTCTGGTTAGCAAGTTGAATAATGCAGGATCTGGTTAGCTAGCTGATTAACGCTGGTTCTGGTTAGCTAGTTGAATAATGCAGGTTCTGGTTAGCTAGGTGATGAATCAGGTTCTGGTTAGCTAGCTGCATAATGCAGGATCTGGTTAGCTAGGAGATGAATGCAGGTGCTGTTAGCTAGCTGATTAACGCAGGTTCTGGTTAGCTAGGTGATGAACGCTGGTTCTGGTTAGCTAGTTGAATAATGCAGGTTCGGGTTAGCTAGGTGATGAATGCAGGTTCTGGTTAGCTAGGTGATGAACGCTGGTTCTGGTTAGCTAGCTGATTAATGCTTGATCTGGTTAGCTAGCTGCATAATGCAGGTTCTGGTTAGCTAGGTGATGAATGCAGGTGCTGTTAGCTAGCTGAATAATGCAGGTTCTGGTTAGTTAGCTGATTAACGCTGGTTCTGGTTAGCTAGCTGATTATGGTTGGTTCTGGTTAGCTAGGTGATGAATGCTGGTGCTGGTGAGCTAGATTATTAATGCTGGTTCCTTTTAGCTAGCTGATTAACGCTGATTCTGGTAAGCTAGCTGATTATCGATGGTTCTGGTTAGCTAGCTGAATAATGCAGATTATGGTTAGCAAGATGATTAATGCAGGTATTGGTTAGCTACATGATTAAAGCTGGTTCTGGTTAGCTGGCTTATTAACGCAGGTTCCATTTAGCTAGCTGATTAATGCAGGTTCTCGTTAGCTAGCTGAATAATGCAGATTATGGTTAGCAAGATGAATAATGCAGATTATAGTTAGCTAGCTGATTAACACCGATTCTGGTTAGCTAGATGATGAATGCTTGATCTGGTTAGCTAGCTGCATAATGCCGGTTCTGGTTGGCAAGGTGAATAATGCAGGTTCTGGTTAGCTAGCTGATTAACGCTGGTTCTGGTTAGCTAGCTGATTGTGGTTGGTTCTGGTTAGCTAGGTGATGAATGCAGGTGCTGTTAGCTAGCTGATTAAAGCTGGTTCTGGTTAGCTAGCTGAATAATGCAGGTTCTGGTTAGTTAAATGATTAAAGCTTTTTCTGGTTAGCTAGCTGGTTAACGCTGGTTCTGGTTATCTTGCTGAATAATGCAAATTCTAGTTAGCTAGGTGATGAATGCTGGTGCTGGTGAGCTAGATTATTAATGCTGGTTCCTTTTAGCTAGCTGATTAATGCTGGTTCTGGTTAGCTAGCTGCATAATGCAGGTTCTGGTTAGCTAGTTGAATAATGCACGTTCTGGTTAGCTAGCTGATTAATGCTGGTTGTTTTTAGACAGCTGTGTAATAAATGTTCTGGTTAGCAAGCTGATTAATGCTTGATCTTGTTAGCTAGCTGCATAATGCAGGTTCTGGTTAGCTAGCTGATTAATGCTTGTTTTGGTTAGCTAGTTGATTAAGCTTGTTTTGGTTAGCTAGCTGATTAATGCTTGTTTTGGTTAGCTAGCTGATTAATGCTTGTTTTGGTTAGCTAGCTGCCTAATCAAATCAAATCAAATTTTATTTGTATAGCACATTTCAGCAGCAAGGCATTTTAAAGTGCTTTACATCATAAACACAAGAACACAAAGTCATGCAACATATAATAAACAATACATTGTTACATATTAGATTTTAAATAAAGTTCTAAACAGGTGTGTTTTTAGTTGAGATTTAAAGGAAGTCAGGTTTCTGCTGTTGTTGAATAATGCAACAAACAGCATCTATGCTTTCAGCATAGATGCTGAAAGCTGCTTCTCCTCTCTTGGTTCTGGTTCTGGGGATGCAGAGCAGAACCAGAACCAGAACCTGAGAGTCTGGAAGGTTGATACAACAACAGCAGATCTTTGATGTATTGTGGTGCTAAACTGTTCAGTGATTTATAAACTAACAACAGGATTTTAAAATCTATTCTTTGAGCTACAGGGAGCCAGTGGAGGGACTTTAAAACTGCTGTTATGTCTCTATCTTCCTGGTTCTAGTGAGAACAGGAGCAGCAGCTTCTGGATCAGCTGCAGCTGTTTGATTGATTTGTGGGTCCAGCAATGGTTCTGGCTTTAGAGTTGATGTGCAGATTAATCCTCTGATTTTTTAATTTTCTCTGAAAAGAAGCTGGAAAACTTGTTCCATCAGCATTAGATTGGAGTTCAGGTGGAAAACGTCATAGGAGGGTTGTGAGCCTGTCAACTGTTGCAAATAAAGTTTGAGCATTATTAATGTTTTTGTTTATGACATCTGCAAAGAAAGCCTCCCTTGCATGTTTTAGTGTTGAGTGATAGTTACATAGTCTTTCTTTATAGATGTCATTATGAACGTGAAGTTGAGTTTTGCTCCATTTTTGTTCTGCTCTGTTGTCTTGCAGACCGAACTGTTTGTGCTTTTCTCCATGGAGATTCTTCCTACCAGACACAACTTTTACTTTAATTGGAGCAATAGAATCAATGATATATGAAACTTTAGACTGAAAATCATCTAACAACTGATCTACATCATTACAGCTTAAGGGTGAGGAGGAAGAGTAGATTTGATTAAATGTTTCTGCTGTGTTTTCTGTGAAAGAACGTTTTGTGACAGCAGCTGTTTGTCCAAGTGGGTCAAAGAATAAAGAACCTTCAAAGATAACAGCAAAGTGATCCGACAGGGAGACATTATTTATAACGCTGGTTCTGATTGGCTTTTGGATTTTTTCTCCAAAGAGAAAAATGTTCTGCAGGTTCTGAGTTTCAGGTAGAAGTTCTGAATGAAACAGAAAATATTAAGATTTTCCCACTTTATGCTTCAAAGCATTGACCTCTGACCTTCATGGGATGGGAATGTTTTACTTTAACTAGGACTTTCTGAAAGGCAGAGTTGATGAAAAAATCATTTAATGCAAATATTTAAATTAAAACAGGAAAAGAACAGAATGAGCAGCAAATGAACCAAATGCAGAAGAAAAATGTTTTTATTTAAATCACATGAAGAAAAACTGAAGCAAATTTACAAAAGAAGATTTAATATTCAAATCTGATGTTGAGAAAAATAGGAGCCGATAGAAACAGAAAATGATCAGATTGAGAAAAACTGATCAACATTTCAATAAAATCTGATGAATGAAAGGAAAAAAATAAGAGAAACAACATCTTGATATTCAGAGTGAAGCTTTGACTGGAAACACAGAAAACATGAGGATCCTGGAATAATCCTGGAATAATCCTGGAATAATCCTGGAATAATCCCAGCTTCCATCTTTAAAGGACTGGAAGAAGAAAAAGTTTCCAAGGACTCAATCAGAATCGTTTCACCAAGAAATAGATTGTAGAGACTGAACTATCTGTTCAACAGTGAGAGAGTTTCTCTGACAGGAGGAAAAACTTTAGACTCTTTAGACTCAAATTAGATCAGAAACACTGAAGAACCAGAACTGGACCAGAACCAGACTGTAAATCCAGGAATCAGAGGTTCAGTGAATGTGGTGTTGAAGGTGCGGAGGAGGATCAGTGAGTCAGAGGAGACTCTGTAGAAGGACAGAATGCCAGCAGGACAGTCCACATACACTGCTACTCTGTTAGAGTCAGAGGAGGAGGAGAGACGAGTTTCTCTGTTATTGTGTCTGACAGAGTAACCATGACGATCAAAGCAGATCAGACTCCAGGAATGATCATTACATCCAAACAAACAGTCTGTACTGTGTCCTTTCCTCCTGATTCTTCTGTAACTCACTGATATATAAACTTCTCCTCTCCACTTGACCTCCCAGTAACAGCGACCAGTCAGACCAGTTCTACACAGCAGCTGAGGATGATAAATCTGTCTGGATGATCAGGATATGACTGAAGCTTCTCCACAAATGTCACCTTCCTGTTGTCTTCAGACAGTTTGAGGTTTCTGTTCACTGTGTTTGTGTCGATGGTGAGTTGACAGGAATCTGATGGAGAACAAACACAATCCAGCTGCAGTTATTGATCATTTATTGACACTTTGACTCCTGAATGAGTGATGTGACAGTTTGAAGATGGTTGAATGTGAGCTGCTTTGTTGTCATGAATCAGATGAAAAACACACTTACATTTCCTCAGACCTGGAGTCAAGAATCGGCCTCCAGCAGTCTCCACCCTGAAAGGAGGAGGGGGGTGAGACCATCAGTCTCTTTCAGCAGCAAACATGGACATTACATGTCTCTCAGACACACATTGTCCTCCACTGAGACAGGAACAATCAGTAATAAACAAATAGCAGATAAATCATGTTTTATTGTGTTTTCTCTCTGTAACAGTTTAGATTAAATTTGTGATTCTATGCATCAGAATTTCAGGATGACCTGCGTCTCTCTAACATCCTTAACTTCAGTCATTTTCAATAAATTACATTATTTATGAAAAGTATTTCAGTAACTCGGCTCACAAGTTAACACATCATACAGATTAATTCCCCACAAACTGTTTTAAAGCTTTTAATTGTTAATGATGATGATTTGTTGCTTACAGCTCATGAAAATATTTCTGATCAGATTAAAGATCAATAAAAAGAATGAATGCAGAAATGTGGGTCTAATGAAAAATATGTTTAATATCTGCTGAAGTTGTTTTAAAACCTGACAAACGAGCCTCATGGGAACCATATTCTAATTTATTGAATATGACTGTAAATATGAGATTATTGACATTAATCCAGTTTAACGTTACTGGGACATTCATGGCAGGAGACGCTGCTCCATGCAGATCAACTTGTGCTGTGATAAATAACTGAGGTGGAATTGGTGACTGTGGAACCGTAAAACTAAACTGGAACTGGTTCAGACTGAAACTGGGAGCTTTTAATTCCCCAATCCATCCAAAGCTATTACAATCAGATTCATGATGTTCCCAACAGTCCTGCAGCTCAGCCTCAGTTGGATGATGGTCATTATGTCCCTGTAGATTTACCCAATACACATTCATCAGCTTCAGTCTTCTGAATCTTAAAGGAAGCTCCAGTTTCAACTTGCAAAGCAGCTAAAGGAGATGATCTGAAAGCTCCACAATATGTCCGTAACCCTTGTGTTTGTTCGCTATCAAGTTTTCTCCACTGATGGTCAGCAGCTGCTATATATGCTACACCTCCATAATCTAAGGAAGATCTCATGAGAGTCTGATAAACTCCCAACAGCCACTTCTTGAAGCTCCACATTCCTGCCCAGAAAGACAACAAATTATTCATTTTTTTACATTTATTTTGAACTAATTCTATTAATTTAGGTTAGGTTTAGGTTAATTTTTCATCAAAGATGACACCTAAAAATCTCACTTTATTCACTTGATCAAGCTTCTGATTATAGAGTTTTAAATTAACCCTCTTCTATAAAAACATCACTTGAGATTTTACAACTGACATCCTAAATCCCCATTTATTTGCCCAACTTTCAAAATGGCCTCCTGCATCTTTTTCTGTAAATATATGAGATGATGCACCCAGAGAGCCCCATCATCAGCAAATAAAGATTTCCCTATACTTATATCTATCCCATCAAAAATATCATTTATCATAATATTAAACAGAATTGGACTACACACACGACCTTGTGTGGTAGTTTGTGTATCTAGAGGAAAAAGCAACTCTAACTTCCATTTCTCTACCAAACAGAAAATCTAAAACAGTTATAAACCTTCCCCTAAAACCAAGTTTTTCTGGTTTAATCAATAATCCGTCTTTCCATAACATATCATATGCCTTTTCTATATCAAAGAACACAGCTATCACCATTTCTTTATTTGTTTCCTTACTTCTGACTCCAGGCAGTTTCACATCCATCGTATTTCTTCCTGCACTAAAACCACTTTGATATGGACAGAATACATTTTTACTTTCAAGAAAATATGATGGTCTTTCTGTTACTATCCTCTCCATTATTTTCCCAAATTGAGATGTAAGAGCTAAAGGTCTATAGTTTGAAGGGTCTGTAGGATTTTTACCTGGTTTCAACACAGGAATTATAACTGACTGTTTCCATGCAGCAGGAATTATTCCTGTCTCCCAAATCAGATTAAAACATTTTAAAATAACAGTAAGCGATATATAATTAAATGTTTAAGCATTATATAACAAAGTCCATCTTTTACTGGTGTTGACTGTTTAGCTGTTTTCAGCTCATTCATAGTAAAGGCAAATCTAGCTCTTGATTTGAGATGATTTTCTTATTAGTGACTCCTGGATTTCAGCTAAAATCTTCTCTTTATAACTCTTTATATCTTCAGACAGATTTTCTGAACTATGTACTTTAATCAACGTTTCTGCTAAAAACTATCTTTTCTATATTACTAACAGCAATTTTCCCATTGAATTCTAGTTCAGGTAAGGAAATGTTTTTCTTAACACCATTCATTTTCTTAATAACTCTCCATATCTCAGCTAACTTAGTTTCTCTTCCAATAGAATTACAATATTGCCTCCAACAAGCCTTCTTAGCACCTTTTTGTCTTTCTAACTATAGCCTGAGTTTTCTTATATTGAATTAAAGCTTCAACAGTATGCCATCAATTTAAAAGCATTATTTGTTCCCTTTATAGCAATACTACACATTGCTCATTCCACCATGGAGTAGATTTTTTATTTCTCCTTCCCTGTTTTAGAAATAACACTTTCAGCTGCATTAATAATAACAGACACAATCTTTGAATTACATAATTCCACATCAAAAAACAAGTTTTCATCAAATTTTTCAAACTGGTTTTTAACAAAATATTAAAATAAATCCCAATCAGCCTCACTTAATCTCCATCTAGGGATCATTACTTCCTGTTCTTTAACTACTTTAGAACCAACCGTCATTATAATTGGAAAATGATCCCATAGGAGAATCACTCAGCACCTCCCAACATGTAATTCCTGCTATTCCCTTTGCACCAATGTTAGATCTAACACACTTTCTAAATCCCTATTACAATCATATCTAGTAGAACATCTATCATTGACACAAACCAGTGAATATGATTCAAGAAACTCTTCAATAACTAACCCATTTGAATCTGTATTTAGACCCCCATAAACTATTATGTGAATTAAAATCACCGCACCATACAGTCGTTCCTTTATTCTGAACATTTAATTCATTAAGATCTTGAATGTTCAACTTCTTGCTAGAATTATACAAATGAATCACTGAAATCTGATAGTTATTAAGATCTGGAAAAAAAAGATCATATTTCTGTCCTATTGATTCCACTTTATAACTTTTACCATCTTGCACAAAAGTTTTCACTCCCCCACCTGGTCTTTCCTTTCTATCATGTCTAATTGTTGAATATCCAGGGATTACAAACTCTAATTGGGGCTTAAACCAAGTTTCTTGAATGCAGATCAAATGAGGTTTAATTATCAAATCAGAAATGTATTTCTTGAACTCCAGACTATTACTAATGAGACTTCTTGCATTTAAATGGAATATAACTAACATGAAGAAGAAGGGCCACCACTGCATGATGAAAATAAAGAAGATTGTGTCTCATTCAGTTTTTCCTTATTTGACTCCCAGCTAGCATTCTTAACATTAAGATACTTTTGTGCTGCCTTCACAATGATTTGAATTTTTTCTGTTTTCCTTTGTGTTTGATCAGTGCAATTTATAACCTCCACCATGAATAAAACAAAATCCTCTTTCCTCATGAATAGTGTCAACTTTAATCTTATTGCATTCCACAATTAGAACTTCCTTCTTCTACCCCATCACTTTCTTTGGATGCATCATTGGTTGGACAGGCACTTTTTCAGCCGCTTCTACAGAAGGGATCCCATTAGTAATTTTAATTTTCTGTACTTCTGCAGCTCTTGTACAGGGGGAGCTCTAGTAGACAGGGGATGTCCTGAAACCTGAACTATGTTCACCTCCACAATTACAACATTTTAAAGGAGCTCCCTCCTCACATTTCTCATACTCATGATCCCCAGCACATCTCCCACACTTCTGTTTCCCCTTGCATGCCACTGCAACATGTCCAAACTTTGACATTTAAAACACTGTAGAGGCAGAGGAATAAATGGTCCAACATCATAACTCATATATCCCACAAATACTTTGTCTGGTAGTTTTCTCTTCAAACTTTATCATGACAGAAAAGCTATCACTCCTTTCTCCATCCTGGTTCCTTTTCAACCATCTGACTTCAACTACTTTCCCTCCTGACATATTTAATGTCATCAACTGGCACATCAGGAGAAATACCTAAATTACGCCATATACACATTTCCTGTTATCCAACATTCTCCCCTTACATTCTCACCTAAGACTTTTTTAATATTCAATCAATCAAATTTTATTGTATAGCACATTTCAGCTACAAGGCATTTCAAAGTGCTTTACATCATAAACACAAAACACAAAGGCATGCAACATAGAATAAAATACCAAGTGTTTTTTTTTTTCTTCTTTTTTTTCTTTCCTTTCTTTTTGTCACGGAATTTAAGCGCCTGTTACCACCAGACTCCGCCGTCCGTTTAACCACGGGTATTCGCCGGGCCCCGTTGCCCACAACAGGAAGAAATAAATAAATAAATAAATAAATATCCACAAATACGAATCCATACATATTACATTTCAAATAAAACTCTAAACAGGTCTGTTTTTAGTTAAGATTTAAAGGAAGTCAGGGTTTCAGCTGTTTTTTACAATTTTCTGGAAGTTTGTTCCAGATTTTTGGTGCATAGATGCTGAAAGCTGCTTCTCCTCTCTTGGTTCTGGTTCTGGATGCAGAGCAGAACCAGAACCTGAGAGTCTGGAAGGTTGATACAACAACAGCAGATCTTTAATGTATTGTGGTGCTAAACCGTTCAGTGATTTATAAACTAACAACAGTATTTTAAAATCTATTCTTTGAGCTACAAGGAGCCAGTGGAGGGACTTTAAAACTGCTGTTATGTCTCTATCTTCCTGGTTCTAGTGAGAGCAGGAGCAGCAGCTTCTGGATCAGCTGCAGCTGTTTGATTGATTTGTTGGACAGGCCTGTGAAGATGCTGTTGCAATAATCAATGCGACTAAAGATAAACGCATGAATGAGTTTCTCTAGATCTGGCTGAGACATTAGTCCTCTAATCCTGGAGATGTTCTTCAGGTGATAGAAGGCTGATTTTGTTACTGTCTTTATGTGGCTCTGGAGGTTCAAGTCCGAGTCCATCACTACTCCCAGGTTTCGGGCCTGATCGCTAGTTTTTAGTTGTAATAACTGAAGCTGTGCATTGACTCTAGATCTATAGCTCTAGATCTATAACTCTAGATCTATAACTCTAGATTGTTCCTCTTTAGGTCCAAAAATAATGACTTCAGTTTTATTTTTGTTCAGTGGAGAAAGTTTTGGCACATCCACATTTATCTGCTCTAAGCATTTATTCAGTGATTGGATGGGGTCAAAGGTCACCTGGTGACATCATAATGTAGAGCTGTGTGTCATCCGCATAGTTATGGTAGCTAATTTTATTTTCTGTTATAACACTAGCAATTGAATAGATGAGCTAGTGGGAAAATATAAATATTGAATAAGAGGGGTCCTAGGACTGCACCTTGGGGTACCCCACATGTGACCTTTGACCTCTTTGATGAGAAGTTTCCAATTGAGTGCCCTTTCTTTTTGTTTAACATCATTACAAATGATCAATAAAGATCCATCTCTCATCACTTAACATGTTTCACTTTTCCAACCAGTGAGGTAATTTCTATAGTAATTTTTATTAGATTCCACGTACCAAAGGACACACCCTCGTTGACCGTTTTCTAGACTATTTTAAAGTCTGTCATCACAACTGTTTCTCCTTCTGCCTCAGAAAGAGACGATTCTGTTTATTGTCTCGATTTTCTGCGTTGTTTTTAGCTTTTGAATATTCCATGTTCCTTCATTTTCCCCGCCATCACAACCCTCATCCATTTCTGCGAGATCACTCCCTGACACGGGAGTGACCCTAAACACATACAACCTTACTGCCCCCTACTCCCGTAAAACGACCCGCGCGAGCATCTCAGCGTTCATGTTGCGTTTGAAGGCGGCTCAGAAAACCAGGTTACGGACCTGTTAAACAACAGATTAAACCGTTTTAACAGCTAAAAAGTGACCCAGGACATATGTATGGGAAATGCGGAAGCCCCTAATGCAGGCGTCCCCAAAGTTGGTCCTCGAGGGCCGGCATCCTGCACGTTTTAGTTCCCTCCCTGCTGGTAGTATCAAGCTTTTCAGCATGTCAATGTTCTTCTTAGGCGTCTAACGAGCCATCAAATTATCCAGGCGCGTTAAATCAGGGAGAAAACTAAAACATGCAGGATGCCGGCCCTTGAGGACCGACATTGGGGAACTAATGTATCAAATTGATGTAAGAATAACAGAGTTTGGAACGCAACCTGAGTGGCACATGTGAATAGGGCCTATAACAGGGGTGGGCACTCCAGGTCCTCGAGGGCCGGTCTCCTTCAACTTTTAGATGTATCTACTTCAACACACCTGAGTCAAATAATGAGGTCATTAGCAGGTCTCTGGAGAACTTGATTGCATTTAGGAGGTGATTCAGCTATTGGATTCAGGTGTGTTGGATCAGGGAGACAACTAAGAGTTGCAGGACACCGGCCCTCGAGGACCAGGAGTGCCCACCCCTGGCCTATAAGTTCAGAAAGAGTAAAGACCAGGGGTGGGCATTCCCGGTCCTCGAGGGACGGTGTCCTGCAACTCTTAGGTTTCTCCCTGGTCCAACACACCTGCATCAAATACCTGAACCGCCTCCTAAATGCAGTGAAGTTCTGCAGAGTCCTGCTAATGACCTCATTATTTGACTCAGGTGTGTTGAAGTAGAAACACATCTAAAGGTTTCAGGAGACCTTGAGGCCCTCGAGGCCTGGAATTGCCAACCCCTGGAATAGACTGATAAAAGTTCATACGTTTACTAGTGTAGCAAAACATGAATGAGACGTGTGAAGGCTACATCTTACCCCGAAAATATCAGATCCAGAACTCAGAGTTTAGCAGCTTAACTTGCCTCCACATGTTTTCAGATTTGATGTTGAATTTTTGAAAGTTATCAGTTCATGATATCAGGGAGGCAAAGGCACCAGAATCATTGATTACTTTCAAACTAACCAACAAATCAAAAAGCTCAAAGCGACTTGGATGTAACTTGTAACACAACAATTTATAGAAATGTAGAATGTAGAATGTAAAATGTAGTAAAATGTAGTAAAATGTAGTGGAGTAAAAGTTCCAGGATTAAATCTACTTACGTACAGAAACATGAAAACTGTCCTTAAGGTCAGGAACAAAGTTCTTGTCCCAAACAAAATCAGGTGAAGGACCTCTGCAGTCCCATGATGCTTCCTCTCCCTCTTCTAAACCATCTGATGGGCTGATATCATCCCTCTACTTTATCAATAAAATCTGATTCTTTCTCTTATTACCATTCCATTATTGATCCTAAATGTGACGTCAGAGCTGTGGATCTGGAATCTGATTGGTCGGATGGATATTTCCTGGTTTTCCAACACGTTGGGAATTTTCCCAAACTTTATTGAACATTCCCAAAAGTTTTTCCAACGACTGGAAACCTGAACACATTCGTCTTTTCTTGGATCTGTCTAAAAGGTTTTATTATTGTTTTTTAAATTCTACCAGTCAACAGAGCACAATTCTACTTTTTCACCATCATTCACTGCAATTCTTCATTTCCTCTAGAAAACAAGGGATTTCCATTCTCTCCTGATTCCTTTCATTCTTTGATCATTTTCCAGATGTCGCCCCCTGGTGGAGATCAAACTACTAAATGGATGAAACTGTTAAAATTCTCACTTTCTTTCTTTGCCTCATGAATTGTTTTCTTCACTTTTTATGTAATTTATTTTATTAAATTCTGAAAGTTGTGAGTTTTGTTTAAAATCTAAAGTTTTTTATTTTTCTCTCCCAGAACTTTAACATCCATCTGACCAACATGGAGTTACTTTTCTTCTCATCTTTGCTTCTTGGGGCTGATTGGTCTGAAGCTCCATCAAATATTGTCTTAAAGTCTTTCTGCCATCAGTGGATCATCATGGAAATCTAACTGAACTTAATTTATTAATTTAGTCAGAGTCCCTATTAAACTATTAAACCATCCACTCTTTAATTTTCCTTGTGATCCGTTCTTAGTCTGGAGAATATTCCAGAAAATTGGGTGATGATCTCTGCCTCCAGATAAGGCGTCTAAATATTTAATTATCAAATTAAACATTCAGCTTCAAACTAAATGTTTGCCAGCAGACTGACTAAAGACATTTCTCCCTCTTCCTCCTCTATCAGACCTTCTCTGCTCCTGCAGCAGGTTCCTCCATACCTGAGAGCTTCCAGTCTCCAGTGTGGATCCTTCAGTCCAGCCGACAGCAGCTTCACTCCTGAGTCTCCTGGATGATTGTAGCTCAGGTCCAACTCTTTCAGATGGGAGGGGTTGGAGGTCAGAGCTGAGGCCAGAGAAGCACAGCCTTCCTCTGAGACCAAACAGCCTGATAAGCTGCAGACACACAATTCATCACATGATGAGAAAATGAGAATATTGAGGTAGAAACCAAGGACTGAACTGATGGATGGATGGATCTGTAATTATGTTTCTTTTGCCCTAAGATGCAACAATTCGTCAAGAGCCCAGAGTTACCTGAGAGTTTCCAGGTTGCAGTTTGGACTCTTCAGTCCAGCAGAGAGAAGCTTCACTCCTGAATCCTGCAGGTTGTTGTTACTCAGGTCCAGTTCTCTGAGACTGGAGGACTGGGAGCTGAGAACTGAGGACAGAGCTTCACAGCTTCTCTCTGAGAGGTTACAGACACTCAGTCTGAGGAGACAGGGAGGAAAATATGTTACTAAATAATTCCTGAAAATTTATGTTCTTTCAGATCATCAATGTTTTATTGGACAGAGAAGGAACTGTCTTATTTTACACAACCTTTATATTTGTTTGAACTTCTTCATTCTATAGTTTTCAACCTCCAGCCATAAAGGACTGAACTACAGGTAACAAAGAGGTTAGAAAGAGTATTATAAATTTCCACAATTAACTTTATTAATCCAGTTTCAACTTTAGCAGTGGAGGAGTTTTGCTGCTTTAATATGTAACACTATGTTGAGATGCTATAGGAAGTCTGTTTCTTCTTTGCTCAACCCCCAATGGTACACTTTGAAGAAACGATACACCAAAACATAAATTAAACATGAATATTTACCTCATAATGAGCATATTTTTATTAAAAATAAAAACAGTGACAATGTGTGTCCTTACAGAGCTTTGTTGGAGGCTTTAACCACTGGCAGCAGCCTCAGAAGAACCTCCTCTGAAGCAGAGTATTTCTTCAGGTCAAACACATCCAGATCTTTTCCTGATGACACTAAGATGAAACCCAGAGCTGACCACTGAGCAGGACAGTTTATCTGTGGAGAGACTTCCTGAACTCAGAGACTGTTGGATCTCCTCCACTAGAGAACGATCATTCAGTTCATTCAGACAGTGGAACAGATTGATGCTTTTCTCTGCAGACACATTCTCATTGATCTTCTCCTTGATGTACTGAACTTTCATGATTGGTCTGTGAGCTACTTCCTGTCTGTGTCAGCAGACCTTGTAGGAGTCTCTGTTTGGTCTGCAGTGAAAGTCCCAGGAGGAAGCGAAGGAACAAGTCCAGGTGTCCATTTGGACTCTGTAAGGCCTGGTCAACAGCTCTCTGATGGAGAGAATTTAGTTTAGAGTCTCTAGATAATGAAAGGCTCTCAGATGTTTGTTTTTCTTCCATCAGGTTGACTCCAGAGTTAATGAAGGTCCGATGAACATGAAGAGCAGCCAAAAACTCCTGAACACTCAGATGGACGAAGCAGAACACCTTGTCCTGGTACAGACCGCTCTCCTCTTTAAAGATCTGTGTGAACACTCCTGAGTACACTGAGGCTGCTCTGATATCGATGCCACACTCTGTCAGGTCTGATTCATAGAAGATCAGGTTTCCTTTCTGCAGCTGATCAAAAGCCAGTTTTCCCAGAGACTCAATCATCTTCCTGCTCTCTGGACTCCAGTGTGGATCTGTTTCAGCTCCTCCATCATACTTGACCTTCTTCACTTTGGTCTGAACCACCAGGAAGTGGATGTACATCTCAGTCAGGGTTCTGGGCAGCTCTCCTCCCTCTCTGGTCTCCAACACATCCTCCAGAACTGTAGCAGTGATCCAGCAGAAGACTGGGATGTGGCACATGATGTGGAGGCTTCGTGATGTCTTCATGTGGGAGATGATCCTGCTGGCCTGTTCTTATCTCTGAATCTCTTCCTGAAGTACTCCTCCTTCTGAGGGTCATTGAACCCTCTGACCTCTGTCACCATGCCAACACACTGAGGAGGGATCTGATTGGCTGCTGCAGGTCGTGTGGTTATCCAGAGGAGAGCAGAGGGAAGCAGTTTCCCCCTGATGAGGTTTGTCAGCAGAACATCCACTGAGGTGGACTCTGTAGCATCAGTCAGGATCTCCTTGTTGTGGAAGTCCAGTGGAAGTCGACTCTCATCCAAGCCATCAAAGATGAACAGAACCTGGAAGTGTTCAAAGCTGCAGATTTCTTTGGTTTCACTAAAGAAATGATGAACAAGTTCCACCAAGCTGAACTTTTTCTCTTTCAGCACATTCAGCTCTCTGAAGGTGAATGGAAATATGAACTGGATGTTCTGGTGGGCTTTGTCTTCAGCCCAGTCCAGAGTGAACTTCTGTGTTAGGACTGTTTTCCCAATGCCAGCCACTCCCTTTGTCATCACTGTTCTGATTGGTTGATCTCTTCCAGGTGGGACTTTAAAGATGTCTTCTTGTCTGATTGTTGTTTCTGGTCTGTGTGGTTTCCTGGATGCTGTTTCAATCTGTCTGACCTCATGTTCATCATTGACCTCTCCAGTCCCTCCCTCTGTGATGTAGAGCTCTGTGTAGATCTGGTTCAGAAGGGTTGAACTTCCTGCTTTAGCAATCCCCTCAAACACAGACTGGAACTTCTTCTTCAGACCAGATTTAAGTGATGTTGACAAAATGCAGCAAAATGTCCTAAATTATCACAATAAGAAAAATAAGATATGAAAGAAAAATCATCTTTTGAATTTGATTACATCACCTCAGCAAATGTGTAATTTATCTATCATTCAAATCTTTGTAAAAATCCTCTTACTGATCTGCAGACAGTCAGCCAGCTCCTCCTGCTTCATCATCCTCAGAAAGTTCAGTGTGATCTTCATCACTGCCTCTCTGCTGCTCCTCCTCTGCTCTTCATCATCACCTCCCAATAGCTCATCTTCACTCTGACTCTCTGAATGTTCTGGGTCATCTGGACTCAGAACTTTCTGGATTTTCTTCAGCTCTTCACATAAGTGACAATGTTTTCCTCCAGCAGCTGGAACAGAATAATAGATGGACACATGGGACTGAAATCATGGAGCCAAACACCAGATGGATGTTGAACAGACTGACGGTCCTCTGGTCTACAAAATGCAGCATGGAGATGAATGTGAACAAAACCATAAAAAAGTAGTTGTTCATATACAGACCATAAATATGGAGTCCAGCTCTGTTTGATGCTGCTGGACAGATGGACCCCTGGGAACCTCTGAGCTCTGCTGGTCCACTCTGTGGAGGAACCAGGAACAATTAGGAAGTCAGGAAATATTCATCGAGCAGTTTTCACAGAGGAAATCACCAGGAGTTTCACATTAAAGTCCTTAATATAGTAAAACATATCATCACACAAACACAATTCAAAGTGAGGAAGAGGAAAATTATCTACATTGATGAATATCAGTAACACCAGAATAATCCAGGAACCATTTTAAAATGTTGATTTTGAACTTGGACTTCAAACTGTCAGCAGATCTGATGCTGGTGGAGACAGTTTCCCAGAGCTTGGGGACAGTGGAAGTGAAGGCTCTGTCCACACAGGTCTTCAGGACAGTGTGGGACATCCATCAGGTTCTGATGACTAGATCTGAGGTGATGTGGACATGGAGGAGGTCTGAAATATGTGGGTGTGTCCATGTGGGATCCTCTACTGGATATTATAGGGGGGATTTAAAATGGATCCTGTAGATCCTTGGAAGCCAGTGAGCTCACATTGTATCTGTCCACACAGAGACAACCAAAGGTCCATGAAGTGATATAAATAGTTAAATCTTACAACTAAATAGTTGTAAAGATTTAATGTTCCTGCTGATCCCACTAAGAACCAGCAGAACCTCTGATGGTCCATATCAGCTCAGTTTGGTTGAGTTCCAGCAGATCTCACCAACCACATCATGAAGCTTTCCTTCCCTGCTGAACTGCCCTCACAATGCACACAGGAACCAAGTCCTGATGGACCAGAATGGCTTTATCAGGTATTTCCCAGTGGAAATGTGATCCACTGTTAGTCTGACATGGAGCCAGGAAGCAGCAGAACATCATCATCAACATCCAGAGATAAAGATATGAAGGTGTTTTCATGAGAACAGAGCAGCTGATTTCTGTAGATAATGGATCAAACCTCTGGAAATATAACTGGAAACATCTGAGTTCTTTCTGGTTCAGTTTCCACAGTTAAAGCAATTAGATACAGCTCACCTCTCTGATGGTGGAGATCCAGGAGATTTAAAGGTAATGAAATTATCTTTAAATAATCTTTAAATTTGACATGTGTTGGATCTATTACCCAGCACTCTTGCTGGTCTTTAATAAGGACAGAGGGAGACGGTTAAATTTCCTTATGCAATCTTCCAATTGAACGGAGAACTCTGCCCAGAGACATTCCTTTGTCTCTGTCTCTGGACCAGTTCTAACGTGCTTCTCTGCAACTGCATATTTTATTTCATTGAGGCGTAGCTTAATTACAAACATTTGCATAGAAGGAGTGGCAAACACAATACACATTCTCAAGGTACCGTCTTTGCATCTCCCGAGGTCACAGTTGTTTGTTGTCTTTCTGGACCATAAAACTAGAGTTTCTTGGGACATCTAGCCTTTGATCCACTCTCCTGCTAGGTGTCAACTCTTTCCTCCTGGTTGGCACCTGTGGTCCCCTTGTCCTCCTGTCAGGGCAATAGTAACTGCAAGCATCTTGCTCTGTTCCCGGGATTCTCTGGTTCAGTTCCCGTCCCCCTCTGGGGTCGTAAAGTTCAGTTCCCGAGACTCTGGGTTGTATGCAAACAACCCATTCTTCCTACTAGGCTAAGTGCCACCCTGGCCATCCGTCTCCAAAGTGACAAACTCATTGCTTCAAAGATAAAAGAAACACAGATCCCAGGGCAAAGGTTTATCAACTTGTATAGTCTCCGAATCTTGAATATTTATATTTGTATTTATCTAAAAACATAACAACTTGTCACTCTTAAAGGACACACAGCTGGGTTCTGGTTCTGATTCTGGTTTGAATCTCTGATGGATCCTGAAAGAAAATCTCTCTGTTGTTTGCTTTCAAGATAATTTTTATGTGATTGTAAAATAAACAAATCAAAAACAGAACCGGACAGATCATCAACCTGATGTTCTAATGATTCCCATCAGAACCGGTCCAATCCTCCAACATGTTCCTGATCATTGATCCTCCTGAATAATGTCCAGCCTTCTTTAAAGAGCAGAAAGATCAGTTTTCTGAGACCAACAGGTTGGTTTGAAATGACTGAGAGAAGTTTGGTGATCTTAGTGTTGAGTTCTGACATGGAGCAGAACCAGGAGTCCTTTCTACTCTGACCATCCAAGGAGGATCTGATGGAGCTTCAATCAGAACCAGATGGTCCATTAGAGACACTGAAGCCCTGCTCAATCAGATCCACTAAATATTTAGTTTAACTGTAGAAATGGTTGATAATCTGCCATGTTGGATGATGTTTGAACTTCAGAGGTGGAATCATAAAAATAATTCATAGAAAATGTTTTATTTCAGAATGAATTTGTCTTTTGTCAGGTTTTAGAGAAAGAGGCAAATATCAAATATAATATAAAACCCAAGAGAACTTGGTATCATCACAGGGCCACAATAACAGATATAAACAGAAGTTACAGCAGTTAGAAACATCTCACCTCTCTGATGGTGGAGATCCAGGAGATTTAAAGTCCATGGGACGATCCCTTGACCTGTCACTCTTAAAGGAGACACAGCTGGGTTCTGGTTCTGGTTCTGGTTTGAGTCTCTGATGGATCCTGACAGAAACATGATGATTAAACTGAATCAGCAAAGAGGAGCAGCAGCAGCTTCATCACCACGTCTGTTCTGGCCTGATATAGTGAACGCTGTGTGAAAAGGGCTGTGGACAGTTAGAGATGGTGACCTCACCTCTGACCTTTGCTCTGGCTCTCATCTTCCCCACACAGAGTGGTTTTAGAGGGAGGGACTCCCTCCTTTCTGTCTTCACACTGATCC